ATCATTTTAATCTTTTAAAAGGTTGATCATCTGGAGAACGAGCCCCTGCCATTAAGCCCTCTGGACAGTAGAGCAATGAGATTTATCATTGACAGGAGAACTTCTATTTTTATGCCTTAGAACCACATGAGAAAGTCATGTATAGTGAAGCAGAGAATACATGCACTAAGTTATATTTGTTTTTTATCCTTTATTCCTCTGCCACCATTTACAAATATTAAGCCTGAAGTTAGTCTTTTAAATATTTGCTCGGACAGAATGGATCACGTAAAGTAAAGCTCTAATTCAAATGTGTGCTATTTACCAACTGTCCTCTCTATCCTCTCACACCTCACTTACTGAGGTGCACAGACTGCAAGTTTTTCGGCCTGCCCCTACAGCGCACCCATGACGATCAAAAACTTGATAAAATTTTGGCATTCAGGCAAATCTAAAGCGTGCCGACCTCTTAGCGCCAAAACAGAAATAGATACAAGGTAGCATGAGAGAGCCATTGTGAAAGACTTAGATTTCACTTGTCTTAAACGCAATTCGGAGGCGGGAATAAAAACAGTTACGCCTACAGTGCGTTACTAATTCCCGGACTAAACACAGTAAAGAGGACTAAATAGCGTCACTGAACTAAACTCTACCAATATCTTATTACCTGTTGCCGCCAATGTGGTAGTCCTTTAGGTAACAATCGATTCTGAACTTGTTTACCCTGAAAGCTAGTAAACCTGTAGTAACCTATCCCCGCAAACATAAATATGGGGATAAATTAGTTTAAGTAGTGGACTCCATATACCTATAGTCCCCGCATTCTGTCTGATGGGAGCTGTGGTAATAGGGGATATGTGGGTGGGAACTAGGATAGGGGACGTAGCAATGTTGTAAAGTTAATTGTGTAGAATAAACCACCTACGTTTTGTGGTTTAAATCTGTGGGGCATTGACGACGCGTTGCAGCCTTATGCTGAAATATAATTTAATAACTACTATATGCACTTAAGCTATTAATCGTACTGGTTCTTGACCTGTCACAAACTTACGCTCGACTGTTTATTCAAATTTGTCTTATATATTAAATGTTTTTTTTGCTTATTCTTTTGATTTACGCGCTATCATTTGTTGCTATTTAGCGGCAGCGCTAATGAAAGTCAACTAAATTTTACCACCTAACACTTACTGCTACAAATTTGCTCCATTGCTTATCATATATCCTCCCCCCCACAAAACCCCTATTAAGACGGGTCTCAAACGACCCAATGCTAAGGATTGGGCTATATACGGTCGGAAACTCACTGGAGAGTTCAACCTCTCTAAAGCTCAGAGAGATTGTGCCATTACTTAGCTTAATTATTAACTTCAGTTCTAGGCCGGCAAATGACCTTAACAGAGGATAAATGTGTATGTATAGGACAGATTTTTTCATTGGTGTGCTAGTAAAATACAGAATTCTTGTAAACTCTTCGGAACCTTTTGCATGACACAGCAATGTATATGTTAACTTGTCGGTGACTTTAGCAAGTTACTTGGCGTTTTTAAGTCGAAAATTTTTTTCACCGAGTTGTGCTTTAAAAGGTGTTGTTAACCAGGTTAATTTCTTTATATTAAACTTTCAGGAATTTTTTAAATTTTTGCTTAAAACATGTTCATAATTGTGCCCCACACATATATCCATATCAAAATTATATAGGTTACCTTTTGGGATCTAAGCAAGAATTATCTGGCAAGCGAAATATGGGCACTTCGTTTGCTGAACTATCAATTTTCATTTTTATTTGTTATTCCTGGAAATGGCATTAAATTGAACCATATGTAGACAAATCCACCCTGCGCCCGTAGGCGGCGTAAAAGAACATTTCGATTTAAATTATTACTGAACAAATGTATCCGAAATCGTTACTTTTTCATGAGTCGTTAACCTGCGATAAAAACTGACTCTTTGATGTAGGCGCCAGTAGAAGCACGAGATATTGACAGTAGGCAGATCAGAAGGAAACAAATGTTGTAAATGTTGGAGATGAGAGCTGTCTGCCTGTGTAATAACTAGCGGCTTCTGTTGGAGTATGAGAAAGAAAAGTGAATGGATATCTAACGGAAAAGTTGCTATTTTAGTTCTTAATTTATTTCTCGATCGGTTGTGATTTATCTCGACCAAGTCTTCATATAGCTTTATATTACCAAGAGATGTACGCAGACTAAAGTTTTCGCTTCCTTTCCAAGCAAAATATTTATTACTTACGTAACCGAAAATATGTTAACCAATATTCTTTTTTCTCGTTGCGATAGGCGCGATTAGACACACCGCCGTCGGCTAATCCGATAGCATCTCGCGTTCTTCATGTTCGCCGACTACCGCCAGATGTGTCCGAGATGGACGTAGCAAAGTTTGCCATGCCTTTCGGCGCCATATTAAACCTCGTACTTACGAAGAAATCCGGCCAGGTGAGGTGCCTGATGGTTTAAATCTTGTTGGTTAAGGTAGATAAAACTTTTCTAATCTTTACTTAATTCCAAGTATAGTAAACGTTATAGATGTTGTGGACTGTTTTAAATTACGTTTTCAGGTATTTCCGACAAAGAGAGTGGACAGTAGGATGGCTATTTCTGGCTCATTAGCGGTCGTCAGCTTCTGATACCCAACTCCAGTGTTGCCGCTGAAATTGCTGCCACACCAGAGTTTCGAACCTGCGATCTCTCTGGTCAGGGCAAACGCCCTAACCATTGAGCTACAGGTTCGCTGTCTTGTCAGTTTTAGATCTGTTTCAGGACCGACCGGCGTACGATTACCTACTACTGTTTTAAATTATTTTAAAAAAGGTCTGTTTTCGTATCTTTCCTGAAGATTAAGGAAGTCAGTGATAAATGAAGGATGTTAGCTGTATGGGTAGTCACCCGTAACAGTTAGACGCAATTTGCACTTTTCTCTTAGACCTGTTCGATTCGGCTTGGGGTTGGCTACAGCTGGCTGGCGACAACTCATAAGCTAGAAATGGCCCTTTCCAATCTCCCTCGTCTTTGTGAGTAATGCCATTTTGCCTGTATCACCAGCTGCTGTGCGGTTAACGAGGAGGCTTAAGAGTGAGCCCTAGGCCGCAATGGGACGATCGTGTCCATTTACACGATGAGTGAGCCCCCTCTACAATATTGTAGCAACTGGGAAAAATTAATCATAAAAAGGCTTAAAAAGAATAAAGGGTTGCAATTCGCCTGGTAGAGACGCATGCCTTTTAACGGTCACAAAAAACTTATGTTATCTGTACCATTTCCAACAATAAATTTTTCCATACACCTTGCCCTTTCAAGACTGAAATTGATTCAAAACAAGGCAATATGCCCTTTTGTGTTTCGTCGGCGATTGTTGAGTGTTCGGCAACGAATATTAAGTAAAAACCTCCCAAA